CTCTTCCTGTAGGGGGCGTGTTTCTGTAGTTCCCCTCACATTTTAAAATAATGTTGTTTTTTAAGGGGAGGATCTCATATGTGAAACCCATCCTGTCCTGGCTGACCCAGGATCAGCACTACGGTGAAGGTTTCTACTCTGTGCAGGTAAATACATCCCAAACTCGGCCTGCCACCTAAAACCACTCTCTGTTAACCTCTTTTGCGCTTCTTGTTGACCTTTGATCTCCCTCAGGACACCTTCTTGACTCTGGAGGCATTAACGGAGTACAGCAGAGTTGTCTCTCGAGCCGCCCTCAGTCAGGACATCAGCATCCGCTACAGAACCAAAGGAATTCTGGGACAAATCCAGCTGAGCCAGAGTCGACCCGTGGCCTCACCCTTCCAGGTGAGAACGGTTCAGCGCAGCGAGGTCAGGTGCAGCTCCAGGTTAACAGTAACCTTTTTGTTTTCCTTCCCAGGTAACAAAGAATGATGACATCACCGTGTCCACAGGTTATGGTCGCGGCGTGTCCAATGTGAAGGTGGGTGTGGGTTAATTCACCTGAAGCCATGTTGGCAAAATCGGCTCTAACGTTCCCCGATCTGTCTGCAGATGAAGACGGTGTACTATCAGACCGTGGCGTCCGCACAGGCCACGTGTAACTTTGACCTCACAATTGAGGTGGTCATGCCTGAAACCAGTGAGTATCTCACCTGGATGTACAGGTGTATGATCACAGCCACAGCAGACTTTCAAACTCCAAACAGATTTCACACGAAAACAGTTTTCAGATTCAGATTCAGATTCAGAAGACTTTATTTATCCCCGAGGGGCCATTAAGAGCCAGGGGGGGGGGATGAGATGAAGATGGTAGCTGTTTTGGTCAGTGCGAACAAACTGCTTCCAATTTTACAGTTGGTCCGTCACAGGTCACCAGGTCTCTCAATTCCTGTTGTTCTTCTCCAAGATCGTATCCATAGACACAGTCTTACTCACAGCCCCGCCCATCGTCCATCATGTCGGACGGCCTTGTGGGATTTTGAACAGCTGTAGCTGCGTCTTGTACTTCGATAAGCTCCAATTAGCCAGAACTCTGTTATCGTGGTTCCGAATTGGTAGATGTCGTTCAATGTCCTCCATCGAGTGTCGCCAGACACACGACGCAACTGACCATCGAGTATCCGGCAGCAAACGTCTCCGCAGGATAGTTGGGCTCTCCCAAGCCCAGGAGGGTGTCAGTTTCGTTAAGGGACGATCAAATCCATAATTGTTCTTTATGTTTTTAGAGAACAAGTCTGGGAGACTCTGAGGGTTAGAGAATAAGCGAGACATGAGAAGCCAAGCAGGAAAGATGAGGGAGAAGGAGAAAGTGCGACCGCGTCCGTCAAGAGCCAAGAGTTTTTCCTCTTTTAAACCAAACTTTGAACATTAAACTCTTTCGCGCGTCCTCCTTCTTTGTCTTCATGCTCAATCATCCAGGTAAGTAAATCCCAAAAAGTTGATTCTGTTCATTGATTTTACACTTCCTGTCTCACTACAGAGAGGTTTATTCATTTATTTTCTATTCTGTACTTCTGTTTTGAATAGAGACAGTGCTCCAGCTGTTTACCTGCCTGTCACCAGATTAAATGTCTTCTTTCTCCTCCTCAGATCCAAGAATACGAACTCCTACCCTGGTGGCCTGTGTAAAGTAAGAGCACTGTGTGATTGTCTTTCTCACTCACTGAAACGCTGCATGCAAGAAGGCGAACTCACAGCATGGATCCCAGCTGCAAAAGCTGTCACACATGTAACTACAGAGGGTGACGTCACTGGGTTGGTTGTGGTTAACAGACTTTCACTAGTTTATGTTACCTAACCTAACTAGTGACAGAATCCATAGCTCAGAGGAAAATAAGGACACTCAAACTAAAAATCTGCCAAGAAGCGCTGTGTGGCAGGCAGGAGTCGGACCCAAAATGCAGGCACTCAGACTGGAGGGATGAACTCAAAATCACAGCTTTATTTGCTGGCACGGGAAAACGAGCAAACTAAACTAAACTAAACTAAACTAAACTAAACTAAACTAAACT